AGTGACTAAACAGCATAACACTGCAGATGAGGGAGGGGATCTGAGTAAGAGCCGAGCTCTAGCTAACAGTGCCACACTGGTGTCAATTTCCAGATTGTGATCTTATATTATTTAAAACCTCTGTGCTGCCCTGCCAACTTCCTAGGGATGTCCTAAAAGCTTTGGTACTTTTGTTGTTGACGATGGATGGTGCAGTAGTTTGTGTAAGAATGGCCCCAATGGGCTCATATATTTGAATGCTATTCAAAAGGATTAAGAAGTATGGACTTATTGGAGTAGGTGTGGCCTTGGAGAAAGTGTGCCACTGGGGCTTTGGGGTTTAAAATACTCGTCAGGCTCCATGTCTCTCTCTTCCTGCTGCCTGCAGATCTGGATGCAGAACTCTCAAGCTCCCTGTCCAGCACCGTGTCTGCCTGCATGCTGCCATGCTTCCTGCCACGATGACAATGAACTAACCATCTGAAACTGTAAGATGCCCCAATTAAATGTTTTCCTTTGTAAGAGTTGCTGTGGTCATGGTGTCTCTTCACAGCAACAGAACACTAAGACAGACAAATAGAAGAATACCAGAGTTTATATGTGAACTCATACATAAATGTATCAGAATCATGTTTGTTTATGAAAACATTATGTGATGTCACAGGAATCCTAAAACAAAAGAAAACATTTTTAAAAAACAAATTTAAATGGGCAGTTGTACTCTAAAGGATCTACTGACTATTTTAGTGTCTTGGTTGTAAAACAGAATTCCTACAAGATTACAGAGGGCAATGTTTGGCCTTTATTGGTCAACCCAGAAAGGATAGTCTGTTCCACCTTGGGCATACAATTTTAGGAAGGAGAGACATGTAGCTCCCTACTGCTGCAACAATATCCTCATTTTCAAGTCCCTCACACTCACCCCTGTAAAGGGTCACAGTCAGAATTTCCTTTGGCAGATGCCCCCCCAATTTCCCACGGAAGAGAGGCTGCCCCTTGCTGTCAGTCTGTCTGTTGAAGGTCAAAGTCTGGTCTCTTTCTACTTTCCATCTCCTTATGCTGCCTCAGAAATCTAATACTGATGATATTCAACATCATTAAATTTAAATAACTGTCATAAATGGGATTGTGAAACTGAAAGCAAATATTCCAAGATATAAAACAGACAACAGCAAAACTATTAGGTCCAAAGTGGCCTCAAAATGGCAGTGCAGGGCTGGAGAGATGGCTCAGAGGTTAAGAGCACTGGTTGCTCTTCTCCAGAGGTTCTGAGTTCAATTCCCAGCAACCACATGGTGGCTCACAACCATCTATAATGAGATCTGGTGCCCCTTTCTCACATAAAGTTGTATATGCAGATAGAGTACTCATATACATAAAGTAAATAAATGAATCTTTTTAAAAAATGGCAGTGCAGATGACAATATCCTAAACAGAAGAACTTTGGCTGGGTAAACAGAGGTCTAAATACTGTCCTCCTTCCCCCAGGAGCCTCCTTCAAACCACAGTCACCTCCCTTAATCTACCCCAAAGGTCAGCAAGGGCAAGGGCAATCCTAACCCCTGTATCCACTCAAAGACCTCACCTTGCAAGCTGCCCATAGAAAATCCAATTGCTTTTTCTGTCATTCTTCAACTCTCTCTGCTCCCTACCACACAGGTACCCCACACAGGCACCCGAGAGCCTCGGTAGTTTTTAGCCCTAATAGACCTTTCTCTCTAACCACAGAGCAGTCTAGGTCAGTGGTTTCACTGCCCTCACTTGGAAAAACTAAAATATCTGAAAACAGGATTATAATGAAAGTAAAAAATGTAAACAGGCTGTTTTATATTTTTAATGTTGACACCTAGCATGTGTTGCTAAATCCAAGCAAACAAAAAACTTTACAGTTGTGTTTTCAAAGAATATAATCTAAAATTGATATAGCCAAATCCAGGGGAGGGGGGGACAAAATGCCAAATGTAAAAAAAAAATATGGAAAAAATACTTAAAATTATGGCTTTAAAAAAAATATTGTTTCGCCCCCCGTCCCCCGTCCCCCATGTAGCACGCACATGGTGCCCGAGTACCACTCCTCAACGCCTGAGGTGAAGATGTCACACCCATCCCTGACAGCCAAGCCCTCCAGCCCCAAGAACCCGCGGGTCTTCTTTGATGTGGACATTGGCGGGGAGTGAGTTGGCAGAATTGTTTTAGAATTGTTTGCAGATATTGTTCCCAAAACTGCAGAAAATGTTCGTGCATTGTGTACGGGAGAAAAAGGCACTGGACCCACAACTGGGAAACCTCTCCATTTTAAAGGGCGTCCTTTTCACCGAATTATTAAGAAGTTTATGGTTCAGGGTGGAGACTTCTCAAATAAGAATGGGACAGGTGGAGAAAGTATTTATGGAGAAAAATCTGAAGATGAAAATTTTCACTATAAGCATGATCGGGAGGGTTTGCCGACCATGGCAAATGCCGGCCCCAATACAAACGGTTCTCAGTTCTTTATCACAACAGTTCCAACCCCTCATTTGGATGGAAACATGTGGTATTTGGTCAAGTAATTAAAGGACTAGGTGTAGCAAGGATGCTTGAAAATGTCGAAGTGAATGGTGAAAAACCTGCCAAACTGTGTGTTATTGCAGAATGTGGAGAATTGAAAGAAGGGGATGGCTGGAGAATATTCCCCAAAGACGGCTCTGGTGACAGTCATCCAGATTTCCCTGAGGATGCTGATATAGATTTAGAAGATGTAGATAAAATTTTATTAATAACTGAAGACTTAAAAAACATTGGAAATACTTTTTTCAAATCTCAGAACTGGGAAATGGCTATTTAAAAATATGCAAAGGTTTTAAGATATGTGGATAATTAAAAGGCTGTTATTGAGAAAGCAGATACATCTAGACTACAACCTATAGCCTTAAGCTGTGTACTGAATATTGGTGCTTGTAAATTGAAGATGTCAAATTGGCAAGGAGCAATTGACATTTGTTTGGAGGCTCTTGAAATGGACCCATCAAATACCAAAGCACTATACCGCAAAGCGCAAGGATGGCAAGGATTAAAATAATATGACCAAGCACTGGCTGATCTTAAGAAGGCACAGGAGATGGCCCCAGGAGATAAAGCTACCCAGGCAGAATTGCTTAAAATCAAGCAAATGATAAAGGCACAAAAAGATAAAGAGAAGGTGGTGTATGCGAAAATGTTTGCTTAAAGAGAATTGAGTTCTGCTTAAATCTTACACGTTGGTTATAAAAAGGGTAATGTAAGTTACTATCTGCATATGATCCCTGATGTGTTTCCCTTGATTCATCATCACTGTTTACATGGCACAGGTTTCTTCTTAATAAAGTGTTATGACATTCAATATATATATATATATATATTGCTTCTATCTTATGTGTATGAAGTGCTTTGCATGCATGTATGTAAGCACACCACACAAATGGAGTGCCTTCAGAGAGGATCATGACCCCTGGTTGTGAGGGGTCAGGTGGATGCTAGGAACACACCCTGATTCTTTGCAAGAGTCTCCCACAACTGTTGTAAAAGTTGAATTTGAAGAGCTGGAGAGATGACTCGGCAGTCAAAAGCATTTTCTGCTCTTCCAGAGGACCTGGGGTTGATCCAGAGGACCTGGGCTTGATTTCCTGCACTCACACAGAGCCCACAACCATTTGTAACTCCAATTTCATGGAATCTGACACCCTCTTCTGGCCTCCTAGACAACAGGCAAGTGCATAGTGCACAGACACACATACAGGCAAAACACCCACACATTTTTTTTTTAATTCTAATTAGAAAATACGTATGGGCGGGAATTGTAACTCAATGGTGGAATGCTTGCCTAACATCATAAAGTTCTGGGTTATACACACACACACACACACACACACACACACACACACACACACACACACACACGGGTGGGGGGTGAGGGGGAAGAGGAAGGGAAGGGGAGGGAAGAGGAAGGGGGAGATAATGTGTGAGAGAGAGATAGAGAGACAGACAGACAGACAGAGACAAATACAGAGAATAAGTTATGAAAATCAATACTAATAACCTTTCACTTCTCTGGGACTAAAAGTTTACCACCATACCCAGCAACCTCACAACTTTCTAGCCATTGTAGTGGATGTTATTACCATGACAAAGGGCCAATAGTCTCTCAAGGAAACCACAAATGTCACCCCTGAGGGCTCTCTGTGATGGTCTGCCTTTTACTTTCTACCAACCAGGCAACAAAAACAGGAACAGGAAAGGGAAACCAAAATCAAAGGAGCTGAGGCCTCCTTAACCAGTGCCTTTGTCTTTTCCCAGAGAACTCACTTCATGGCAATCATTCATGAGGCTGCTAGGGAGGGAGGGGACTGAATTTGCATTTATCCCCAAGCTTCCTGTAGAGTGAGTGGGGTGCTAAGAGGGATGGATCATGGCATGGATGGGGCTTTTCACAGAAGGACAAACCCGCAGCTTTTACCCAACTTTTACTCCTCCTATGCCTGGGCCTCTAAAGGTCTTTTTCACAGCTGGCATGACCCTCAGGTAGTCTTCTGTGAGCCCTCCTGAGTCTGGGATTTCCCACTGGCTTCGTTGTGTAACTTTTTGATAGAGTTACAGACCAAAGACTGCACATTGCAGAAGCACTGTGGGTTGTGTGTGCATCAGTTCTGAACATAGAACAAAATATAACTAGATGGCCAGCTAATCACCCAGAGGACCAGCAGGTTAATATTTAATCACTTTTATGTGGATTCCAATAATCCTTTTAAACCGTTCCTATGAGCCAGAAATCCTTGTTCAAAGCCTTTGCCACACACTTATGAAGTCAAATAAGTTAACTCTCTTAGCTTAATCCCACAATTACTTGTTCACTAGCAAAATATCCACTCAGGATCTGTTATGTCTGTGGAGTGCTAAGCCTTCCCTCTGGTGACCTGTCAGCTCCCCTCCTCCCAACATGGGAGGACCAGCCCCATGCAATCAGGCCTTTCCCTGAGCAGAGCCCCCAGGAAGAAGGGCTGACTCACCCTGTCCCAGCTGAAGCACAGGCCGAGGCGGTCAAGCTGTTTCCTCATATATTTAATATTGCTGTAAAACAAAGCAAAACAAGTTTGACATTGAGAAAGGGTCAGGACCAGAGTTGAACTACATTTTAAGGATGTTTTAGAAAACTTAAAAAAGTCTAGCTCAGTCAGGGAAGCCTTACCTGTTGCTTTGCCCTGGCAGAAAAACCATAAAGACGATCCCTAAGAATCAGTAAAACATCAATATGCAAGCAAACATCCATGATCTGGACACTAGATGTCTCTTTGGTCTTGGCCCCGGAAGGAAGCTCCGTCCCCTGGCCACTCTGACAAGCAACCTCTTGAATGTGTGATCCTGGCCTCTCCATTTGTCTATGTTCCACACAGAGTTAAGTCAAGCAAGCAAGTTTTAAAGAGATCAAACAAACAAACAAATAAAAACATTTATGTCCAGACTGGTTTGGCCCTCAGTGGAAGAAGCTCTTGCCTGGCATGTGTAATGACTGGATTCAATCCCCAGAACTGTGTGTGAATGTTACATCTCCACACACACACACACACACACACACACACACACACACACACACACACACACACACACTCATGCACACACGTGCAGGCATGCATGCATGTACACACACGCAGGCACGCATGCATGTATACAGACATATGTAGGCATGCATTTACACACACACATTCAGGCACGCATGCATGTACACACATGCACACATGTGCAGGCACGCACGGACACGAGAGCACACGCCCACCTCTTAATGTACAAATTTAAAAGAAACTACACAGTGTTCTATCAGTCACAACCTAAAACTGCCCCAAAATTGGATAATAGAGCACTAATCAACTTAGTTCTTGTTGCTGGGAATCAATTTATGCCACGTTTGATCTACTTTATTAGAGTTGTCATTTTGTCCTTTTCTTCTTTTTTTAATCACTTCTATTAATCTAGAATTAATTGTATGATGGAGAGAACACAGTGATTTTCCTGCTGTGCAGCCTTGGATAGAAAAAGAAAAGGTGTGGGGGGTAAGGATAGTGTGTGTGTGTGTGTGTGTGTGTGTGTGTGTGTGTGTGTGTGTGTGTGTGTGTGTGTGTAGGTAGTGGGGGGAGGGTAGTGTGAGGGGGAGATAGTATGTGGGGGTAGTATGTGTGTGGAGGATTGTGTGTGTGGGCTGGTGTGGGGAGGTAGTATGTGTGTGGAGGGAAGAAGGAGAGGTAAGAGTAGTGGGTTCATAAGCACAAGGGCCTGAATTCAAATCCCCACAATCCATATAAAAAAGCCAAGCACGGCTTGCGTGCTGTAACCCTTGCATTGGGGCAGACAGAGCCAAGCAGGTCTTGAGAGCTTACTGACCAGCCAGACTAGCCAAAATATTACACTTCCAGCTCAGTGAGAGACCCTGTTTCAGGACGGTGAAACCATGCAGGAAGACACTAGACATCTGCTTTGGGTTCCCAATGGACATGTTCAGCTGGGCACATATATGGGGTCCCATATCTATACATTCACGTGTATTTATATTACACAGAGAAAGGGGGGTGAGGAGGGGAGGGGAGAGGAGAGAAGAGGCAGTGGGAGTTCCAGAGACAGGCCCTGGGGCTGTCTTCTGCATCTGAAGGGTGAGATGATGAAGGTCCCAGGAGAGTCTGGTACAAGGTGTGCAGTACTTTACCAGCAGAGAGAGGGCTGGGAAGCCTGAGCCATGGGGTGTTAAGAGAAAGCCACACTAAGTTGTTTCTTGCTCATAAATGATGAAAACAAGAATTAAATTATCAGAGAAAATCAGAATGTAGTGTTTAGATATGGTTCAAACTGAGGTCTAGAAGCCAAAAGCCTGCTGAAACTGAACACATGCACTTTGTAGTCTCCGTAAAGGTAAATGCTCCAGGAAAGAAGGGTTTGGTGAATGACAAGCATCCAACCACCTGTGACTAAGCAGACACCAGCCTTCTTTGATGTCTCAGGGCACTGAGCACTGTAAGGCAAACATCAGGAGCTGCAGGATGGCTCAACGGGTAAAGGTGCTTGCCTCCAAGCCTAATGGCCCGAGTTTGATCCCCACAACCCACATGATGGAAGAAGAGGGCTTCTTTCCATAAACTGTCCCATGACCTCCATTCACCTATGCACCATGACACATGCACCTCCCCCATAGCTATCTAACTGACTAACTGACTAATTAACTAACACACAGACAAACACCAGTGTACACCTTCCTGTTCATTTACCTCTTGTCAATCAGCCGATGCTGTGGTGGATTTGTGCTTGTCCCTTTTTGTTTTCTGCTTTCTCTCATGCACAGGCTTAAAAATGTTTTAAATTTTTAAAAAAAGGTTTCCATATACAAGTGTTTGAGTATGCCTTAAACATTTACCTTTGGGCCCAGCTTTCTGGGTGCAAATTCCTCTCGATGGCAGCATTTTCCGCAGGCAATCCAAATGCATCCCACCCCATGGGGTTGATAACCTGGTATAACAGAACAAAGAGGAAATGACAGGGAAAACATGAAAATGGGTTTATAAAAAGGGATGCTTTCCTTCTTCTACCTTCTTCTCTTCCGCCTGACTCAACAGGCTGCCTTCTTCACATGGTCTCTGAGAATGGGGGGGGGGGGGCACATTTGTCATGATCCCTCCTTTCTTTGCCTATCACCATTTTTTTCATTTTTAACAGAGCCCTGTTAACAGGGATTCAGGAGTCTGGTCTGAAGGAAATTTTCAAAGCACATGTGCACTGAAGAATAAAGAATATGTTCCAGGTACAGATGCAGAACTTCTACCAATCATCCCATTAGCCTGAGACCGTCTTCAGAACTGGACAGTGAGGGGGCAGTAAAGGGTTAAGAGTGATAACCAGAAGGCTTCACATAAAGCCTTACAAATTCACATATGAAAAAAGGTTGGCCAAAAAGGAAGGCTAGAAGCCGGGCGGTGGTGGCGCACGCCTTTAATCCCAGCACTCGGGAGGCAGAGGCAGGCGGATCTCTGTGAGTTCGAGGCCAGCCTGGTCTACAAAGTGAGTTCCAGGACAGCATCCAAAGCCACAGAGAAACCCTGTCTCGAAAAACCAAAAAAAAAATAAAAAAATAAAAAGGAAGGCTAGAGCACTACCCCCCTAACTAAAACCAATCGCTGGCTCAAAAGAGGTACTCCAGAGTAAACTATGGCTAATTAAAAAACCAAAACAAACAAACAAAAAAAAAAACCCGAAACAGGGCTGCGAAATGAGATAGCATGGTGATTAATGTGCTTGCCAACTAAGTAAGAGAATGGGAGTTTGGATTCCTGAGATGCACATAAATGCCAGTGATCATGGCAGCTCACCTTTAATTGCAGCTTCTGAAGGTGGAAAGGGAACCTTAGGAACAAGCTGGCAGGAGACCTAGCTTTGATTAAGACATCCACCTCAATAGATTTGCACACCTTTAACCCCAGCACTTGGGAAGCAGAGGCTGGCAGATCTCCATGAGTTCCAGAACACCATGGTCTATAGAGTGAGAGCATGTCTAACAATACCACCAAAACCCAGAGATGATGGGGGATGTCCTTCTGTATGCTGTAAATATGTTTCTCTTATTAGTTGATGAATAAAGCTGTTTCAGTCAATGGACAGGCAGGAGGTAGCCAGATAGAAGAGTAGGTGGGGTTACCAGACTAGGAGAATTCCGGAAAGAAGAACGGGGAGAGTGAGCTGCTAGAGCGATGCCTGAGCACTCTCTGATAAGCCAAGACCATGTGGAAATACATAGATTAATAGTTATGGGTTAATAATTAAGAGAGAGTCAGCCAGTAAGAAACCTGAGCCATCGGCCAAACAGTTTATAATTAATATAAGTCTCAGTGTGTTTATTTGGGACTAAACAGCTGTGGGATGCACGGGACAGAAACTTCCGGCTACATATGGTGCCCAAACGTTTGGCAAGAATTTCCATGTAAAACCTGACAAAAGCTTAAAAAGGGATTCTAAACACAATAGGACAGAATCAGGCTCGGCTTCTTGGTAGCAGTGTTTTCTCAGTAACTGGTGCTCGGCTAAACTTTGAGAGTCTGACACCAGTTGGTCTATTTTAGACATATTTAAGAACAGCACAATTAAAAAATGGTTTTTTGATAACAATTTACTCAGTTCCCTGAGTATAGCGGAGCTTGACATGTTTAAGCTTCTTTCACAGAGGAGATGGGTACTGTTGACTCAGAGATAGAGCCCAAGATTTAGGAATTCAGAGAATGACTGAGGTAAACACAATGCCTATGGGAGTAAGGACTGGCCTAAGATATCACAGAAGTCATTTAAGCTGTTGTAAGGTAGAAGTGACAGCACTCATAAGGATGGGTTTTGGTCCAGGATAAGTAAAGCATAAATTCTGGGGGATACAAGCAGAGGTCGGCTCAACAAATGGCTAGGGATCACCAGAGTATAAACTACATCCAGCCCCAGCATTCCAGGAAGACAGGCAAACATCTTCCTTTGAAGGAGGCCTGTGAATATAACTCTCTGGGCTTCCCGAGTGCTTATCTGTGTGCACAAGGACTTTTTGCTCTTGTGCACACAGTCCCCATACCCATAGCTCTTCTGGAGTAAACTGGAAACAGACTGCTTTTTTTTTTTGTCTTGACTGATGTTTTTCAAATTAAAAACAGTACAGCTGCAGCTGGAGAGAAGGCTCAGTGGTTAGAGCTGCTCTTCCAGAGGTTTGATTCCCAGCACCCACACATGGCAAGCTCACAACTGTTGTAACTCCAGTCCCAGGGCATCTGATGCCCTCTTCTGGTATCTGTGGGCACTGCATGTACATGGTGCACAGACATACATACATGCACATACAGGAGCATGTCGTTTCTATGGGACTAGAACCTGCTATACATAATATTTCATGACCTGCCCTCTTCTTTTAACATTATGTCATAGGCATCTGTACAAAATACAAAGCCAGTGATGCAGAGATCCTGAGTATGATGGGATCTCTCACAGCCCAGTTGTGCATGACCTAAGGCTTAGATGCTGGGTGTTTGAGTTTGTAAGAAAATGGACCTGGGACATTGGCGCTGAGCTTGTTGTCTCACACCAAAGAAGAGTAATGACACAGACTCTCGAGGGTGTACACAAGATGGAAGCAGGCTTTATTAAGAATTATAGAAAAATGGAGAAGAAGAGAGAGGGTGAAGTTTCCAAGACAGAAAAAACATTTCTTTGTCCAGGTTTTTATAGGGCAATGGTAGATACTGGACAAGACTGAGGTAGTCTCTATTCAGAATGGCTACTTCTCTGGGCTCTCATGGGTGAAGTCAAAGGACGGTCCACACACACACTCAGCATGTTCCCCTGGTCCAAACAGTAAGACAACCATCTGATGTTCATGCACAGCCCCCCAGTTAAGGTTGGTTGAGGGCCCTTCTGTTCACCTCTGATTCTGGCTCATTGGCCATGACTGTATGCTGTCAGCTATTTGGCTAGGGTTACTTCCTTCCCATATGCAGGTGTCTTGCTAACTGCTAAACATGCCGAGTACCCAGGCTTTGTTAGTCAACCTTTAGGGTGTCCCACGTGCTGTTAATTATAAGGAGCTCTCTTCCTTCTCACAGCTACCAAGAAGCAGCTGCAACAGTCTTGGTTATTGCCTTGTCTACAGTACAGTCTGAGGTCTCTCTCCAGAAACTGGGCTGGCATGTTATAAGTCATCCTTACTACATCTCTCAGAAGATTATAATTAGCTACACTAAAGCAAGAATATGCAACAGGCAACAGAACCTAGCATGCATCTCCCAAAGGGGAAAGGTCTTTTGGAAGCTAGTCAGCTAACCTGTTATCACTGGCCTTGTTTCTTAGAGCCTAATTGTCTCTTATGGTCCACTTGGACGTCTCAAGTATCTTTGTCTCTATTTTTAGTGCTCCTGGCTTCATTTTTTACCTTAACACACCCACTCCCACAGTAGCAGATATGTATGGGAGATGTAGTTTTCACCACAGGTCCTTTTCCCTTTCTGCCTACTATAAGCTAACTCCTGTCTCAGCATGATGTGTACAAATCTGTATAAGCAAAATTCTAACATTTGCTGAGTAAATCTATTCTGTTCGGCTTCGGGAGCCTGATTAGACAAACCCCAACCCAGCTGGGACATGAGGTCTCTTTCCTTCCATGAAACATGGGGTATCCCACTCTCCTAAAAGCATATCCCCATCTCAGTAACTGCTTCTCCTTGAGCATCACGCAGCCCTGGTATGGATGGGCAGTTTCAAAACCCTTCCCTGATTGAGAAGGGTGCTTGGTTTTGGACCCTTCCCTGCACTTTTCTGGAGCTGGAATGGCTACTGCAGTGGTGGGGACTCTTCTCACAAGGATTCCCGGGGGTGGGACAGCCTGGTGGTGACATCCGAGAAAGCAGAATGAGAGCTGGAGCAGGTCTGGACGCAGAGGAGCCTCAAGCGCCCCGTCCTAATACCCAGGGTGCCTAGGCTCCTGCAACATTTCCTTGAAGCTGTGAGTTTTGCCAGGATCTGCAAAAACAAAACCTCCCTTTTGGCTGAATCTGGCCTGAGTTAGGCTTCAGTCCCCCAGGAGCCAGGAAGCCCCATTAAACAAGCATCCTTGGCACACAGGATTCCTGCTCTGGAATACTGCTCTATCCACAGAAGACCCAAACACAATCCATGTTTGCTTTTTTCTTTTTCCTTTTTTCTCTTTTCAGGAACTAAAGAGCCCTGTTCTGGGTTATCCAGGAGTTCTTCCATACTGCCAGGCCTGCACATGAGTTCTGTGTGTGCTGCTCTGAATTCTCCCAGGTGGCTTCCTTGGAAGAACAGGGTGGCTATTGTGTAACTGTTCTGCAGAAAAGGGAACTTAATCATCACTTGGAGTCTTTGTCAGCACCACCAATGGCACCGGTCCAATGTTTCTGCCCATTAATATTCTGTTAGGTCTTATTTGGGTTTTTAGATAAAGCCAATACAGGAAGAGACTGTCATACAACACACACACACACAGAGTTTAGATTTATATAACAAACTTATTCATTTCTATTTGCATTTTCAGATAGAATTAACACGAGAGGATATTCTTAGATCACATGTTATCCAAGCTGTCTATGAGCATAAAGTCAGAAAAATCTTAAACTTCATTAATATTTCAAATTCTTCATAAAAATTAACAAACTCTGGGAAGTCTTTCCCACAACTCAAAGTCAGGACTATTCCTTCTAACATCCACCAGGTCACTGAACTAAACGGCCCTGCAAGCCAAATCTTAACGCAGGAAGGTTCCCTGTCCATAAGCCCTGGGGGCCACAGGCAGAGCCCTTGCTGTAGGAGGTCTCACTTCCAATGTGGGAGAGACAGAGAGTAAAGACCTAAGCACCATTGCAATACACCCATGCACCCATCCTTCTGGCAGCAGACTGTATCCTAGCAGATGGCATGCATCTGTAATTCCAGCATTCAGGAAGCTCACACGGGATCATGAGTTCAAGGTA